AAAAAAAAAGCCTTACCCTTTTTGGGTTCAATATTTCGAAAACTGCTCAAATCGTTCACATCTATCGAGAAAGCCAACTTGTTCATTTGTTCGCCAGATGTCTGGAGAAGAATGCAAATGAGATGAGATGATGGAGTAAATTTGCTCTCCTCAAAGAAGATCCCAACTTTAATCGTATAACTAAGGAAGAATTTCGGAATCGAAATGTCTGAAAACTAGTACGCAAGAAGCTCTCTACAAGCAAGCTGCAAATTGGCGATGCTTAACAACCGCTATCTCATTAGTCGAGCACTACACAGGCAGAAATCTTATACTCAATTACAGCTGAACAAATACAATACTCACCCTATCAGGACTGCCTGTTGGCGAATGCAGCGTTTGTGTTTCGCCTCCATCTTCTGCTAAAACCCAACCAGACGTGTCTGGAGCATAGCGAGAGCCATCGCTTGGGGACCACTCTATGAAAACTCCGACTGCCTATAAAACTAACTGTCCATGAAAAAAAGGAAAATGAAAAAATAACCCACCTTTTCAACAATGGTTAAAGAGCCAGAAATGTATTCATCTGAATCCTCAGCAAACTTTGCAGATACACCAGCGATGCGCACGACAATCTGGGATAAAACGCAAGCTTTCAAGAACCGATAATGAGAAGCAAGATATCCAGCCTTGTTCAAAGGTCAGTACATTTCCCTGATCCCAAAAAGGTTTTTCAGAACTCAATAAGTTCAGCGAACCAAAAAATCGATTTGATTTTAGAAGAGATGAACAAATATCCTTGCAGAAGTAGAAGTTATATATTTCCAGTGTGATAATTTTGCAAAACAAGATGATATTCTGTAGGAAAGAAAAAATTTACCTGATCTGGTATCATAGAACGCGATAAATGTGATGTTAGCGAATCCAATGTTGACTCCATTTCACGTTTGCTCTCGTCTCGTTTATTTTTTACGTATTTATAAGCAACGTACGGTAGCATAAATAAGAATCTAAGCAAAATGTGTAGGCTACAACCAGCGATTTGAAAGATAATTATACATGTCGAAGCTGCTAATAAGTCATCATTGAATCAATACGAGGAAGGGAAGTGGGCACAAGGCACAAAGAAGATGGCTGACGGGGAAGAGAAGGGCCACTGTCAAAGTTAATGCACGCATAAACAACATAAATCCGTCAGTCAAGACCATTTTTAGCAGAAATGTTCCCTAAATTTATTCAATCTAGCAAGTACTTTTACAGTATGCCACATATAATCTTAAATGTTCAAATCAGTTTCTGTATTCTTCAACAAAGTGATTTCGAATGAAGGTAGGTCACAGTGTAAAACACTATTGAGTGGGGTAACAAACTTTATAGAAAAACCGCTTTGGCAACTCGATACCATGCACCTGGAATGTGAAATGCTGAGTTTGAAAAGTACTACCTACGAAAATTAATTGGTTGAAACTTTAAAAATGAAGACAATCCTACTAAATCACAAATAATGTTCTTATCATCTCCTCATTCGAAAACCGGTTTAGCAGAACAAATATGATGATTTAAAATGTCATTACCTTTCGAACATATTGTAGAACTGAACCCAGGGAATTACTTACAATAAAACAAAGATAATTCCTAATCAGATTTCATAAAGTACACGAAAAGCGAGGGCAACACTATATGGAATGCAGGAGTGTACTTTGCTGCACATCCAGAAAGGTTTGCCTATTATAACAACGATGAATGGCTTGTAATTAAATATGAGTTTGAGATATAGCCGCGATAATCAAGAAGATGTTTAGATTACGAATTACCAGTTATTAAATAGAAAATCAACTTCAGATCTAACTTGTACAACTCTGCTGCACTCAAACACTTCAGAACGATGCTCTATTACTATCACAGACAAAATGGATAGTTTGCCGGAAAATGTTACAGTATTGCTGAGGTGTTGAAAGTTCAAAATGACAGATGAAACTTAAAGGTGTCTCCGCTCGTTACTCGCCACATTG